AGGGGATCCTAATAAAGTACCCTAAATGGTAGGATCCTTACTATAAGGACCCCAAAATAAGATAACCCATTATTTTCGGAAATTCCCAAATATAAGGACCCCAAAATAAGATAACCCCTTATTTTCGGAAATTCCCAAATGAAGCCTAGGACTTGCTCCTGGCGTCCCCGGCTGCAGAGGGCCTGGATCCTCGCCTGAGAGCTTCGGGATTTCTGGTTTGGAGCCTTGCGTGTACCTTAAGAACCCCAAAACCCACTTTTTTGTAGGTTCTTATTATAAACCCTAATATGGGATTTATAGGGGCCCTACAAAAAAGGTAGGTTTTGGNNGTTTTGGGTTCTTAAGGTAGGGTCAACCTCGTTCGGAGAGGTGTTTTTTACATGCAGGTGTCGGAGTAGCCAGTGGGTTTCCGGGTATTGTGTGCCAGAGATGTAGATCGGCTTGTTTTGATTAGGAAGCGTTGTCGACATGGCAGAGGAATCGGGTTCTAATTTTGCGCAGCAAAGGAGCTTAAGCCATCAACTCCGACAACACGTTTGCGATACAAGCACTACCCTCAAAACCTGAACTCTTACAAGCCTACCACCCCCCCCCCCCCCCCCCCTGCAACCGTCCCCCGTGGCAAGCAGTGTCCCCCTCACCACAGCAGCAACAACAGCCACCGCAACACCAGCAAACCTAGCCCCTATGCCCATCTGCACCTCTACGCCTTTACCATCCTTCACCCCTATCCGCTAGCCCTAGCCCCCCATACGCGATCACCCCTGGCCCCTGACAGACCTGTCCCATCCGAAAACTCCTATACACAACCCCTATAAACCCCCGCCCCCGAACCTATACCCTCTCAGACCTCTACACCGCTATACACTCCTTAACCCTCTCCCCTTCTAGTACCACTGAGCGGTGAAGTCCAGGTCTCTCACCAGGACTCCTCCGGGCGAACGGCGCTGCACCACGCAGCTGCCGCCGGCGATGCACACATGGTCGAGGTGAGAAGGGTGGTTTAGAGTTTATTATGGTTTTGGATTTCTGGGTTTAGGGTTTAGGGTTTAGGGGTTTAGGGGTTTAGGGATTAGGGTTTAGGTGGGAGGTTTGAGGAGTTTAGGGAGTTGGGGTTTGGGGGGAGTCCGCTACTTAGAATTGCGAGGTTTCTGTGGAACTGGAAGGCGAGGTCGTTCTTTCAAGGCTCAGTCTGGGAAAGTCCAGCGCAGATTCCTCCTCCGAATCATAAACCTTCACTACTTGGGCTCGACTAGAGGGCCTTCGGGTCTATTTTCGTAGAGTTCTAGAAAGACTCTATGGGGAGACCGTCGCTAGTGATTCCGACCGCTGTATGAGTCTGGAGCTTTGCGCTAGAACCCAGAAGTTTCAGATCTTCAAGGCAATATCTATGTGCCTTTGATACGTATGTTACAGTATGTCATGCTGGGATAGTACATTCTCCAGTGTATTCTGGATTATAGTACATGACAGTATAGACGAGTATACTCTACACCCTAAACCCCATTGTACTATAGCATTAGTATATGATGAGGTGCTCTTGAAGGAGGGAGCCGAGAAGGACGCGAAGGCCCCTTCCAAACGACTCAGTTCTTCAGAGGGCCGGGTACCTAGGGTTTAAGGATGACTTTCAGGGCATTCAGCGGTTTTGGGTTTAGGGATTACTTTCACGGTTTAGGGATTTAGGGTTTAGAAGGGGTGACTTTCAGGGTTTAGGGGTTTAGGGTTCAGGGATGACCTTCAGAGTACGTATGAATAACGAGGCATAGTTCTGGCCAGTTTCTCGCCTTATAAGCAGAGCGGGCTGTTCCTACTTGGAGGATCATGGGACTTAGTTAGTACGGTTATAACTACCTTAATTGGGGGGGGGGGGTTATAATTACTTATAACTATAGTTCCCTTATTTATAACCCTAGTTACTAAGTCCGTAGCCGGTGAAGAGGTCGATTGTCACCAACCATGCAGGGCTCTTCCGGATTCGGTATGGTATTCCAGGATTTTGCTTGGGTGCCCAGCTTGACCAACGAGACTTCGAATTCTCAACTTCTTCCTTCTTGGATTCCGACCCTCTACATCCATGGCTTAATGCGTACTGGAAGAGCGCCCTGCTTTCAAGAATGCAGACTCGGCTTGTGATTCCAGACAGCGGGTCTCTCGAATACGTGTAGCCAGCCGAGGCCGTCACTCGCTAGACCCTAGCCTCGCTAGCGATTCTCATGATCATCCGCATCGTGGTCATCAAGACTCTCACCATCATCATCCCCATCACCCGTAATCAGCATCAGCATCATCATCACCACCATCATTCCGGAGAAGCCTTTGACGGTTGTCGGAAGCTCGACAGAGGGTCTGTGCATGGCCGACAGACGCAACGCGAACTTATTGACCCTCCCATCCGCGAAGCAGGCTTTCGCCGCAATGTAAGAAGATTTTCCCAAGCATGGTGAAAGCAATCTCCCGGAATAAACGGACTGCACTCACTATGGTACCTTTGTCTACAAGATGCTCGGACCTTCCCGTATGGAGACGACCTAAACCCTAAACCCTAAAGAGTCCAATGACAGGATCGGCATGGCCGCAGCCCGGCGCACATTGCTCCTCGGTCGATTCGAGTAAACTACTTACCCATAGGCCCTATAGTAGTTCCTTTTTGGGATTCATATTTAGAATCCTATTAGGTAATCCCAAAAAGGAATGGGGCCTATGGGTAGACAGGACTTTGGAGCAGCGTAATGTGTGTTGAAGAAGCAGCCAGCTTGCATATGGGAGCTTCCGGAAATTAAGGGTACCTTATTTTGGGGTCCTTATAATAAGGGTCCTACTATTTAGGGCACTAGATTAGGGTCCCCTATCTTCGGAAACTCCCATATAAGAGCGACTGCACGATGGGATCAAAGCCTGGAGACCTCAACTCGCAGTCCCGTACCTCCCAAAGACCTTCGCTCGATTCGAAACCCTGGACCGCTGTACCCATAGGCCCCATAGTAGTTCCTTTTTGTGGGCTTATATCTTAGGATCCTATTAGGTCATCCCAAAAAGGAACTACTATGGGGCCTATGTGTAGAGATATGTCAACAGAGCTAAGGCCGCAGTGCGCCGACATGGCGAGGTGGCCAGGATGCTGGCAGAGACCGCAGAGGAGGCTCACCTGACTTATCTCCCGATGACTATTACTGTTACAGCTACCACCGCAGATTGTTCTGCTTGTCCCTGTTCCAATCAATGTCAAATGTGTTTCTGCAAAATTGATCTCCTGGCTGGTACTGCAAAATGGGTCTTATCGGCTTCCCATGAAGATCTTCTCACCGCAGTCTACCCAGCACGCGGTGGGGGAGCATTGGGGGGTGAGGGTTCTGAGAAGACGCGAATCTCGAGCAAGACGTGTTTTTTTTGTTTTTGCATCTGGCATTAAAGGTGTCATAAGAGTCTACAAGTTTGTTAGCCTACCTGGTCGAGAGAATCTACGATGCCTCAGCAATCAGAAACGATGAGACGAGCCGACCCCTAAGGGAAGTTTGCTCTTTCAGGACTAGTTTCATGGATGTAGACTCGCTCGAGGGGCTTCTTTCCAGAAGAGTCTCTACAAATTTGCGCAGAGACTTGCAAAGCTTTGAGTGTTTGAGGTTTTTGTCAGAAGCGACAAACCACTCCATTGTCGCATGCCGAAGCAAGACCAAGGAAACGGAGACCTCTATGATGCATGCTTTCGGATCGTGGCGTGTGTGTGTGTGTGTGTGTGTTTATGTATGTCTGTCGGTATGTATGTCTGTCTGTATGTATGTACTTAGGTATGTATGTACGTAGGTGTGTATCGGTGTGTATGTACGTAGGTAGGTAGGTAGGTAGGTAGGTAGGTAGGTAGGTAGGCAGGCAGGCAGGCAGGCAGGCAGGCAGTTAGGTAGGTAGGTAGGCAGGCAGGCAGGTAGGTAGGTAGGTATGTAGATGTAGCTGTAGATGTAGATGCAGCTGTAGATGTACGTGTCTCTGAGTCCATCCGGGAATCTTGCCACTGAGGCCCGAGCCCCCAACCCCATGCCCCAAAACCCTGAACTCCCGAACCCTACTCCTCAAGTCCGCCCAAACTCTTCAACCACATCAAGGAAACAGCTGCAGCTTCAAACTTTAAACCGCTGCTCCAAAGTCCTGTCTACCCATAGGCCCCATAGTAGTTCCTTTTGGGGGATTACCTTATAGGATTCTAAATATGAATCCCCAAAAAGGAACTACTATAGGGCCTATGGGTAGTGGTGTACGCCAGGCACAGCAAAGGGATGCCTTCGGACACACAGTGCAAGGCATCCTTCAGGACATTGGCCCTAGCTTCACGGTTGAGGCTCTACCTTAAGAGCCCAAAACCCACTTTTTTGTAGGTTCTTATTATAAACCCTAATATGGGATTTATAGGGACCCTACAAAAAAGTAGGTTTTGGGTTCTTAAGGTAGTCGTGATGGTGGAAGTAGTGAGTAGTGGTAGAAAGCGGTAGTGGTAGTGTAGCACTTCTATGTATATTGTCATTACTATTCTGGTGGTTGAGAAGGTTCGGGTGCGCTTTAAGCCCTGCAGCAATTCAAGCTTGGCGCTTTTTCATCTTTCGCGCTTGATACGGTGTCCATCTAGCCCGCAGGGCAGAAAGCACACTCCTAAGACAAAGCTTCACGGTTGACAGCCTTTGGGGTGCGGGTGCATTGGGTGGAGTTCAACTCAGAGGACATGCGGCTCAGGCTTGAGACTGTCTGGATTTTGGGAGCTGTTTCTGACTTGTGATTTCGATCTGAGCCGGGGGCTTTGGGGTTTGGAGTCTCGGCTCTTGACGTTCAGGAGCAGATGCGCTCCGAAGTGCCTGCGGTCCAGTCCGACGAGCTGTCACTTGAAAGTGAGACTTTCTTCCGTCAGTATGTCGCCATGAATCAACCCGTTCTGCTGCTTGGCTATCTTCATCTGCGAAGCTTCATCCAGCTTGCTGGTGCCCCGCATTCTGTGCTTTGCTTGTCGTGAGAATGTTTTGGTGGCACGCCTCTATGTAAGCCCGCGAACCCTCAAAACCTTACAGCCAAGAGCCTACCCATAGGCCCCATAATAGTTCCTTTTTGAGATTACCTAATAGGATTCTAGATATGAACCCCACAAAGGAACAACTATAGGGCCTATGGGTACAGTTCAGTGTCGACTTGCACGCCAAATGGTGGACCTGAGCGCCGGTCTTTGTTTGCTGTGCGTTGTACTATAATATGAGGCCAGAGCCATTACCTACGATTTTCCTGGAGTTCCTTTTTTAAAGCATATATCCCCCCAACTGTATGCTAAGTCTCAAGGCCCCGATATTAAGGGTCGGATGGATGGTAACATTCTTCCTACACCAGTCGGGCCATCGGTCATATCTGCAGTGCACAGACAGAGGTCATAGAAACATGGCCGAAGTTATCTCGGACCCTAAACCCCAAGAAGCAAAAAGAGATAACAATCTTCAGGCAAACCCAGAACAGCATAAAAACAAGGAAAACAAACATCCCGAGGCTCTTGTAAAGTGCAACCTCCGAAGTTCCATCCGCGAGCCTTCGGACGCCTCAGAAGTGGAAGGAGTTCCTAAGAACCGAGGATCAAAGGTGGTGCCTGGCACATGGAGGCTGGTTTGGGACTTTGAGTTTTCAGGGGCTTGAAGGGGGCTGTAGGGTGTTATTTTACAGGGCTTCTCAAGCTGATAGGGCCCCGCCAGGGTTTCTCAAGCTTGCCGCGGCTCATAGGCTACGGTTTATAGGGTTTGTAAGGTCTGAGGGGCTTGAGCTTGAGAAAAGCCTTGAGTCCCCGTAGTTTCTGCGTATGATGGACAGCCCCAGTCCAGCCTATAGGCCTAGTGCCAGTCGCGTCTCCAATTTTTGAATTCCTAAACCCTAAGCCCTAAACCCTAAACCCCTAATTTCGACTTCCTAAAGGTCCTAAACCCTAAGCCCTAAACCGTGTTTTCGGGCAGGCAAAGGCACCTGAAACCCCTGGACCACACATCCCCCTCCGCGGGAGCTGAGGAGCTTGGGGCTCCGGTTTATAGGGTTTAGTTTTAAGCCCAAGACCTAAATGTCGACACCGTAAGACGAAGCGATATCGTAAAACTTCAGTCTCGATCTTTCAAGCTTCAAGCGCCTATTCTCTGCAAGAGCCCAGTAGAAACACTGATGTCGAGTACACAGGGACCTTCCATACATAAAGGCCGGCAAAGACAGCATTGATGGCCTGAGGCATGCTTAAAACCGAAATCCCTCGCCCCTAAACCCTAAACCCCTAAACCCTAAACCCTCCAACCCTCGGCCTTGAATCCTGGACTCTAAGCCCCAAATCCTGAACCCGATTGAGGCGATGTCTTGGTCCGACTATCGTTTCTTGACAACTGACCTGGGTCGTGAAGTTGTCCAGGCAGCACCAGTTCCCTATGCAACTGGGCCGGTGGAGGGACTTGCTTGCCACGTCCAAAGCTTGTGAAACCGAGAACATCCGAGAAAACCGAAAGTCGAAGTCGTCTGTCGCTCCCCTGGCCCGAGGCAAAGAACATGGGCCTGCCGGGTGCTGTGGACGGGACGCTGTCGGAGATGTTAGCCTCGCCACAGGTGCAGCGATTTGGGGATCTGTGGGTGCATTGTTTCTCCATTCGTTGTAGAATGTTGTATCATACCTCGAATCATGTGAGTTTGCCTGTTTCTGTCAAACGGTTCGACCTTCGGCTGTTCAAGAGCCTAAACCACCGAAACCCCCGTAGCGACCCGGACAGGGCATGCCTTTAACCCAACACACCTACCTGATTTCGTTTTACGAACTAATCATAAGAAGGACCCTTCAACCTAGCGCTCTATAGGAATTCATAGAAGAAAGTCATAAGATGGAGCCCTTACGGGTAGGTTATTTGGTGGTGGAAGGTAACAGAAACCCACTTCAGCTGAAGGTGTGGCGGAGTGAGGAGCCAGATTCAAACGAGCCACAGACTCCCCCGCTGCAGCTACATCAGTATAATTTTAGGGTTTAGGGTTTAGGGTTTAGGGATAACTGATTTTTTCATAGTAAATTCTATTCTATTCATTTGTTGTTTCCAGATGCTTGTAAGCTATCCTAAAGCTGGTTATCTTGCATACTTGTTTTTTCATATTTCACCATTTACAAGTTTATGTGTTTAGAAGTTTGCACATTTATGTATTTAAATAAATACTATATTGCTATATATATATATATATGTACATGTATTTGTGCTCTTACTTATATTTATATATGTATACATACATATGAGTACTTACAAACATGGTTTGGTTTATCTGTATCGTCATGTTTGTGTTTAGACTTATGGTTTGTTTAGGTTTATAGCATAGCATAGCATAGTATAGTATAGTGTAATATAGCATGTTATTCTTTCCGTTCAAGGAACCAGCGATGTTGCTAAGATAATCTGCTTCATCATCACAGTTTCGCAGCCTGCACCCGGAATCAGATGCCCAGCTTCTCCATCATGCAAAGTGTAGACATCGCGCGGTGTGCACTTCTGTTGTGCATCTTGTCCTACCCTAAACCCTAAACACTAGGCTTCGGGTTTCGGATCTTGGAACTTGAAGGGTCTCTTGGCCAAGGTATGTGTTCGATGCAAGTGTCCTCCGGCGCCGGAGGGATCTGGTGAAGGCCTCTGCGCCTCTGCGACAGAGCTTCATGGAGACTTGGCTTCCTTTAACGTGCCTGCGGAGGTGTAACCCCCCGAGGTGCTTTCTCCCAGAGCTGGGTCCCTGGATCCATTTCGCCACAAACACCCCGGAACTTTCTGAATCTGTCAAAATAGGATCTCGCTCCTGCCTTTCTCGGGCATCTGCGGCAGGAAAATCTGCAAACCGACAGTTCATCAGACATGATGCCTGGGACGCCGGGTTGCCTACTCCTCCCTACTCAGGTGTAACGAGGGGTGGCACCGAAAGGCCCATTCCTAGGGAGGAAAGCATCGAGCTAATAGAAACTTCAAGGCCCAGCAGAAACCCGAAATCCGGTCACCCGCGCTGGTGATTCTCATTCTTCGGCCACCTAATGTAGAAACCTAAATAGTTACCTATACTATTTTTTCTAATTATTAAGGCTCCTATATTATGTGCTTAAGCAAGCTCCTGGTCTTGCGTCCCGTTTGAAGGAGTCGTTCTTGGGCTGCACTGTCTATCTGATTGTGCTTGGGAAGCACTAAACCCGAACGACCGCCAACATCTCAGATATGGAAGCCTGAGTAAGTTACCAGTATCGTTCCTTAGGGCTCCTTGCTGCTATAATTATGCCATGATATACTCCGGGGCCCTGTTCTGGAACAAAAGTCCCTCTGTGAAGCACAGGAGAAGCATTGCTCTCACGTGCGTGTGCCGCAACTGGGAGTTGGCTTCCGTGGAGCCGGAGCCCCGATGCACCTTGGGGACCTGATGAGCTTGGCAGAGTTTAGGGTCTCGGGTTTAGCGTCGAGCCCTATACTATGAATCCCTATATTATATGGTATGCTAGCCCCCAACCCTTTTAGGGTTCCTTTCGTCGTTGAGGCACACTCACCATGCGGCCGTGAACGCCTCCTATGCAGGAAGAAAGCGGTGGCCCCCTGTCGCTTTCGGACAAACTCGATAGACTTCAGCATGAACTAGTAGGGCTTAGGGCAGTTCCTGCTAGCAAGTATGGAACTATTCTTGTTGTTGTATGTTCTACAGGAAGCTTGAATTTTTGTTTGTGGGTTTTTCAGCTGGCTAGTGCTGTGCCGCATTTGGGGTGCCCAGGGCCCCTAAACCCTAAACCCCTAAACCCTAAACCCCTAAACCCCTAAACCCCTAAACCCCTAAACCCCTAAACCCTAAACCCTAATTAACCCCCTAAACCCTAAACCCCTAAACCCCTAAACTTCAAGTGTTCAGGTTCCTGATTCCACCCGAAGCCGCTTCCTGGTCCTTGGATCCTGCGGGCACCTGGGAGCAGACCGCAGAGTTCCGGGAGCTCCGCAATGAAGGGAAGCTCTTCGAAGTTGTGCAGGAGCATGCTTTAGGGTTTAGGGGTTTAGGGTTTAGGGTTTAGGGGTTCAGGGTTTAGGGTTTAGGGGTTTAGGGTTTAGGGCATTGTTTGCTGTTTCGGTTTCTAAGCCACAAAGCTCAGAACGATCTAGCTGCACCATCTTCAGAGCAGATCTTGCAAGAACTCGCATCTTGTTTCCTTTGGCAGGAGTGTGGAGACATTCTGTTCGTGCCAGAGGGCTGGGGCCATGCCACAATCCTTGACAGCTATGCAGTAGCTTGGCTTGCCTTTCCAATTAAAGTCATGTTTCAGGAGTCTGCTGGAATTATGTGCATTGCCCGAAGAACTCAGCCCTAAACCCAAATCCGCACGCAAGCATGCATGAGAAGGTCGGTGTGGCGCAGGAGTTCGTGCCCTGGGCCAGCATCAACGGCAGCTGGCCAAGAAGAGATAGAAACGCACATGCTCTTAGAGGGGTCCGACAGAATGAACACTCCATGTTGATTTGGATGACATGGGTAGCACAGCGGCCAAGGCTGAAACGTAAAGCGCCAAGCAGTGATGGCATCGTGTTGGAGGTTGCGGAGCAGGCTTGGACAAGCAGCCAGCATTGACTGGAATTTGAGCTGCATCACCACCCAACGCAACTCTCCCTCTCTCTCTCTGAGTCTCTCTCTCTCTCTCTCTCTCTCTCTCTCGCTCTCTCTCACTCGCTCTCTCTTTCTCTCTATACATACATACTTACATGCAGGTCTGTGTGTATGCATGCATGGGTTCAGGATGTATATATGGATGTCTGCGTGCATGTATGTGTGTATGTACACACGCACGCGCACGCACGCGCGCACGCGCACGCACACGCACACGCACACGCACACGCACACGCACACGCACACGCACACGCACACGCACACGCACACGCACACGCACACGCACACGCACACGCACACCCACCCACACACACACACACACACGTA